GCCAGCGTGGAGGTCCGACGGTTCAATCGTGGGTCTTCACGATGAACGTCTTCTTCGACGCGAATTACGTCGAGTCGGACGCAGCGAAGATTCGGTATGCCGTTTCGCTGCTGAGGGGCCCCGCCATGGACTGGTGGCGAGTCATTGTGACGTCGCCACGCGCCTACGAGCCACCGTCGCAAAAGGAAGGGCCCACGGGTCCAGCTGTCACCTGGAGTTCATTCTGCGAGACCGCCCAATACAGCACGTGGGATGCGTGGTGTGCAGGGCTTCGGGCGCGCTTCGAGCCGATCGCGGCTTCTATTTCGGCGCGTCAGAGATTGCGCACTTGGCGGCAGCTCGGATCGGTTCAAGACTATGCGAGTGGTTTTCTCGCATTATGCGAGCAAGTCGACTACATGCACGAAGCGGAGCGGGTGGACCGTTACGTCGGAGGACTGAAGCCGGACATCTCGCACGAAATCATGCTACGCGGGCTCTCAAACTTCAACGAGATTCTCGCACTCCCCGAGAAAATCGACATTTTACGCCGTCCGAGACCGGGGTCCTACTATAAACATCGTCCTCGGGGACCGATCGAGCACGCCACTGTACACGCTGTTGTGACGAATGCAGCTGCCGCGCCGTTTAAGGGGCGCTGCTTTGCTTGCAACAGGCCGAGCCATCGCAAGAGCGAATGCCCAGAGGAGCTAAGGCGCCGCGGAGCAGAGCAGGGGAGGGAGTCTCCAAGGCAGGGAAACGCCAGCAGTCAGTAGGAACCGGGCCAACTACTGACGAGACTGCCTGCTCGCCCAACCCCACCGACCCTCACCGAGTCACAGTACCGATTCATGCTATCGATCGGACTCGGACGAATAAGGAGGGTACAGCGACGGATTGCCCAGTACTGATCCACGGGAAAATACAGGGAGCAGCAGTGAAGATTTTTATCGACGGAGGAGCAAGCCACAGTTTAGTTAATGCCGCAACCGCACGAAAACTGCAGCTGACACTTAGCCGTTGCTTACCGGAGATAGATGCACGCTTAGTCGACGGCACGCCACTGGCTATACGGGAAAAGGTAGAGAGATTCAAAGTCCGCTGCGGGGAAAATTTCGGGTTTACACAGGAAATGCTCGCAACGACACTGGATGGGCACGATATTTTACTGGGACGTGATTGGCTGCGACAGTATAACCCGCGAATTGACAGTAGCTGCACCGTGCGAAGTAGTGGTAACTGGGTCGAGCTACCTCGCTGGCAGTCGCCTGAGTCTTCACGGTACACGTCAACGCCATCACAATGAAACGGGCTGTCGCTGCTGGAGCTGACGTGTACGCAGTAGACATCGCAGTAGTAGAGGAAGCAGAGCAGCCGAGTGATTTCAAGAAACTGCTGGCAGCCGTACCGCCCGAATTACAGGAACTGTTGAAACGATACCCCGGGATTTTCCCCGACGACTTACCGGAAGGACTGCCACCTCAGCGAGCACATGACCACCGAATCGAATTAGAACCGGGGGCACAGCCAACCGTACAGCGCCAGTTCAGACTGACACAGCCCGAGCTCGACGAACTAAGGAAGCAGTTAGATTACCTGTTAGAGAAAAAATTCATCAGATCGAGCTCGTCACCGTTCGCCGCACCGATATTATTCACGCCGAAAAAAGACGGGGGTTTTCGCATGTGTATCGACTACAGAGCACTGAACAGGGTAACAGTCAAGTCGCGGTACCCCATTCCCTGCGCCGACGAACTGATCGACCAACTGCGAACAGCACGGGTTTTTTCGAAAATAGATTTACGGGGAGGTTACCATCAAATTAGGGTCGAACCATCAGACTGCGCCAAAACAGCTTTCAGGACTAGGTACGGGTTGTTCGAGTACACTGTGATGCCATTCGGGCTGACCAACGCACCGGCGACTTTTCAGATGACCATGAACGAGGCATTCAGGCCGCTCTTAGATAAATGCGTGATCGTGTACCTCGACGACATCCTAGTTTACAGTCGGGATAAGCAGCAGCACTTAGCAGATCTGGAAGCAGTATTTAAGGTTTTAGACGAGCACAGATTACTGACCAAGGGTTCCAAGTGCGAGTTCTTCCAGGATAGGTTAGAATTTTTGGGGCACGTTATTTCGGAGGCTGGAGTTGAAATCGACCCAAAAAAGCTGGATACGGTAAAAGCGTGGCATCCCCCGACGAACATCACGGAGCTGCTGAGCTTTTTAGGGTTCGTTAATTATGTGCGTCGGTTCGTCCCCGATATGGCACGGTTAACTGCCCCACTGACGGATTTACTGCGGAAGGGGGTCGCTTTTACGTGGGGGGAGAAAGAGCATGCTGCCTTCTCTGCCCTGAAAAATGTTCTCTGTTCACCGCCCGTCCTGCGCATCGCCGACCCACACCGCCCATTCGAAGTAGTTACCGACGCAAGCGATATCGCCATCGGAGCCGTACTGCTACAGGATTTCGGCAATGGCCTACAGCCTATCGCATACGAGTCACGAAAACTGCATCCGCCCGAGAAAAATTACCCGATACACGACCGCGAAATGCTTGCGATCGTGCACGCGTTCAAAGTATGGCGCTGTTACTTGACTGGCGCGGACGTGACAGTACAGACAGACCATAAATCACTACAGTACCTTCGCGCACAGCCACACCTCAACCCACGACAGATTCGCTGTCTCGATTTCCTCGAGTCCAACTTTCACTACACGGTCACTTACAAAAAGGGAGCCTCGAACATCGCCGACGCACTGACCCGCCCCACTGCCCAGATCCACGCAATACTACTCGCCCAGACAAGCCCGCTACTGACAGGCCTATTCACCCACGGGTACCAAACGGATCCATTCTTCACAGGAGGAAATTCGCAGCAGTTCGCAGCAGCAAAGGGAGTCTATTACGTAAAAACCGGGACTGACCGCATTTGGGTGCCTGGGTATACACTGCTACGGGAATTACTGTTACAGGAGGCACACGACGGGGTTACCTCGGGGCATTTCGGAGTAGAAAAAACACGGCAGCAGCTGCAGCGGTATTATTACTGGCCCGAAATGTTGACCGACGTACAACGACACGTGGCATCGTGTCCCACTTGTCAGCTCATGAAATCATCACGACAGCGGCCGGCGGGACAGTTGCAGCCGATACCACCCCCAGAGCGTGCTTGGCAGCAGGTGACGATGGACTTCGTCACGGGGTTACCAGCCGGGGCGAGTGTGAACGACGCGATCCTGGTCGTCGTCGATCGACTGACGAAAATGGCACATTTCGCAGCCTGCAAAAAATCAATCACAGCCGAAGAAACAGCACGCCTCTTCATCTCCACCGTCGTTCGACTGCACGGGATACCAGCCGCGATCATCAGCGACCGCGACACGAAATTCACCAGCAACTTCTGGCGGAACCTGTGGCAGCAGTTCGGCACGCGACTACAGTTCAGTTCATCATACCACCCCGAAACCGACGGACAGACAGAACGGACAAATCAGACCATGGAACAGCTCATCAGGGCCACGTGTGACGACCCGACCACGTGGAAACAGCAACTGCCACTAATCGAATTCGCGTACAACAACTCGCCATCCGCCACAACCCAACAGTCACCATTTTACTTAAACTATGGACAAGACCCGACAGTACCCATGACCCCGAATCCCGACAACCCAGTACCACGAGCACAACAGTTCGCCGAAATATTACAAGCAGCATGGACCCGGGCAGCAGACGCAATAAAAAAATCGAACATCATCGCTAAACGCAACGCCGACCGCCACCGCAGACCTGTCACTTACCAGCCCGACGACTTAGTTTTACTTGACACTCAGAACCTCCGACTGCCCATCACCCCGAAACTCCGCCCCCGATACTGCGGGCCATTTCGCATAAGCCACATGCTTACACCCGTCACCGCCCACCTCCTCCTCCCTGCTGACTGGTACGTCAGCCCCTCATTCCACGTCAGCCTACTTCGCCCTTACGTCCCGTCCACGAGCCAACTGCCACGCAATCGCCCAGCCAGCATGACAAGACCACCAACCGAACCAATCGTCACCCCCGAGAAAATCCTGAGTCACAGAGTTCGCGACCCTCGAGGAGCCTGAAGGATCGAAATCTTACTCCGCTGGAAGGACCGTACACCCACCGAAGACAATTGGGTTCCCCTGGACAGAATCGAAAACCACCCCATCCTCACCGAGTATCTACGCAGCCGAAATTTCAGGGATGTACACGCACTTTCGTAAGGAGGACCTCCTTAGGGGGGGGGGTAGTGTAAGGAAGATTCCTTTTCCTTACTTCGCATCCCTGCTCAACGCGTACATCAGTGTAGCACCACAGTCAACACCGTTACCACTCGCAACCCTCGCATCGACAATCCGCCCGCCACCTTTGCACATCGCACCCCGACCTCACGGCTCGGCGAGTAACCCGCGCTCCGGGCCTCCGCTTCGACACTTTTTCCCAACCTCAGTCCCAGACCCGTCGCGCGACAACCACAGTCCATTACCGTTACCACTGTAGTTTCGCTATATACTCTTCGCTCATGCCTTCGCTCATTGGACTCTTGCTTCGATAGTGCAATTCTCGTTCGTTCACTCAATTGCACTCGTAACACTATGCTTAAATGCAACTTCACACACATAAAATTAGCATCTCTTGTGGTTGGTACTCTTCATTTGACCTGATATAGGATGCACGGTGCACCAGCATTGTGGCACGTGCACTGTACTCTCGGGCACGAAGTACTGCCAAAGATAACTGTGATCAAATATTCACGCACACACATACACACATATGCACACACACACACACACACACACATACATACACACACACACACACGTATACAATTAATATGGCAAGGGCACCTAAATCTTGTGGATGCCATCATGGCAGTCAGTTACTTGGTTAAGTGTAGTTCGACATCGTTTGTTACGCTATTCCTATGATATGTCACCTATGTGCCACGACAGCACTCAATTCTGCCTGCTATGGCTGTATGTCAGTCATGTTAGCTGGTGGTGGCGATCTCGAAGCGGCAAAGTGGGCAGGTGCGGTTCCGAGCAAACCATGTTGTGATGCACGCGTTGCTGCATCCACATAGGAGGAAGACCCGGTGGGAATGGTAATAATGGTAGTGAGATAGATGTGAGATAATTGCAAATGAAAGCGGGATAAAGTGGAGCGACATTAGACACGGCAGGGATTAGAAGAGAGGCAACTGCTTTTAAACAGGAAGGAACACTTACTGGAAGGTATGGTGGCAAGGGAGATTCGCCAAGAGGTCACCTTCCACTGGGGAAGAAAGGCATATCTGCCAGGGTAGGGGATAGGTTTGGGAACAAAAGAGAATAGTTTAATCAGATGTTGAACGCTCATGAACTTGTATCGATCACTGACACGAACATGTGCAAGTACTGGGTACAAAGTAGGGGTAGCCGAGGCCCGGAGAGGAAACTAGCACGAGACAAAGGACATATTTTGAAGCATACATAGCTGCGTGGGCAGTGCATGCAGAGAAAGAATGTAAGGAAGGCACCTGGCAATCTGGGTGTGAGTGCACGTCAGCGTGGGTCACAGTGAGTCGATCCAGCCCCCACAGTTCCCGTGGAGTGAGCCCCCTGCAGGGTGAGGGAGCAAGAGAAGGGAAAGAGCAGTGGAAGGAGAACGAGTAAGAGAACGAGTACAGCGGTGTTGCGAAACAGTCGGCGAGGCAGCAACAGTTGTGCCGAATCAATTCGATCGGGCGGATACTGCGTGTCATCAACGATAACGAGCCACCCGTGCAGCAATGCACACAAGTCAGTTACCTCGGTGCAATGCCTTCATCCAGCAGCAGAAGCTCCTCATACGGCAGTTGCCCCGCACCACCCTCCGTCCCCATCGCCTCTCCAATCCGCTCCCCCATGCCCTCCCCCATCACCTCCCCCATGCCCCACGCACCACTCCCCCGCCCCTCACTCCCTCCCCAGCCCCATCCACCACTACCTCTACCACTCTCCCCGCCACTCCCTCTCGCCGCCCAGTCAGCAGCACCGGTCGCCCCGCTGCTAGCAGCACGGGTCAGCCCATGCCCATTACTGGTAGCAGGACTGGACCATCCACGATGATCAGATGAGCTGTCAGGCCGGCCGGAGAGCGCAGGCGAGAAGACGGCAGGGAAGAGAACAGTGCCATAGCTAGTGCGGCTGGTGCGGCTGGTGTTGTTGGTGCGACTGGTGTGGCTGCTGCGGCTGACACGGCTGACACGGCTGGTGCGGGTGGTGGAGCGGAAGGTGGGGCGGTAGGTGGAGCGGGAGAAGACTTGGAAGGGGTCCGGAGTGAGGGAGAGGGATGGAGAGAGCGTGGGCGATGCAGGGCCGTCAGTCGCTTCTTGCTCCACCTCTGCACGGCAGAGAGACACACAAGGCAGGCAGTCAGTGGGTGTGGAAAGAACTGGATAGATGAAGAAAGCGGGACGATTGCTTAGGTGTCTCAAACAAAGTGGGACAGGACAGCAAGGGAAGAGGCTGTAAATTAATGATATGAGAACGAGAGAAAAGATTGAGTTGGGAAGTGAGGTGGGCGGGCGGAGGGCAACAGGGAGGGGTGCAGGGGCATGGAGGGGGTTGGTGCGTGGCTGTGAGGCTTGTACCTGAGAGTCTTCGCTGCATGGTGAAGGGGCGGGCGACGAGGGTGCCTCGAGGGAGAGGCGAGAGAGCTTCCATTAGCATTGCATCCCACACAGCAGCACCACCACCGCTGCTGCTGCTGCTGCTGCTGCTGCTGTTGCTGCTGCTGCCTCTCCCATACCCACTGGCGCTTCTATCCCATCCATCCCCACCACTGCCAAGGCTGCCAGTGCTGTCATTGCTGTCACTAATCCCACTGCTGCTTCTACCCATGCCAAGAGCGTGTGGCATACCCATATACCCACTGCCTCCATCCGGTCCCTCCATCCCCGCACCTCCCACCTCGCTAAGCACCCTGTCCACATCCCTCCCTTGCTCCTCCCCAGATTCTTGCCCAGACCCATCAGTCAAAGTCTCACTGGGGGAATTCTCACTGGGGGCCTCACTGGAAGTGTCTGTGGAAGTGAGGACCAGCCTAGCAGTATTGCTCTCAGTCTCAGATAGCTGCCTGGCACTGCTCTGGTCCTCCATCGCACCACGCCCAGCATGTGTCAGATTAATCCCCTGCTCTGCCTGTCTCCTCTCTTCTGGCACCACCTCCCCTGCTGCCAAATCCTCGGCCGCATCTTCCCCCGCACCTTCACCCCCACGCTCCCCCGCACCCTCCTCCCCACCCTCTGCATCATCCTGTGTCTCCAGCAGACGGCCGCCCTGCTCCACCTCAGCTTCCATCCCTGATCGCACCACTCTCCTCGCCCACTCATACGCCTCCTCCTCACCCACCACGCCCCCCTCACTCTCTGTAACACTCAGCCTGTCCGCTTGGAAGCCAGCAGGCGACACAGCATCATCCAGCAGCAGTGTAAACGCATCGGCACCGCCGCCGTCAGCACCGTCGGCTCTATCAGAAGCATCAGCAGCACCACTGTCGCCCGCAGCATGGTCAGCACCATCACCTTCCTCACCACCATCCCCATCACCGGCATTATCACCAGCAGTGTGTATACCCGGCATGGCTTCTACTGATGGCGCGCTGGCATTGGCTTGCCCGTGGTCGGTCTGTGGCAGAGGCATCACGGCACGACTCACGGTGGGAGCAGGATGCACCAGCGGCAGCAGGCGCAGTGTGGTAGACGGCACCGGCAGAGCCACAGTCCAGCCACCCGCCCACCAAAACCATGCAGGCCTGGCTCGCCTCACCCCACCTCCGATGCCCCTGCTGCCGCCGCCACCCTTGCTGCCACCGCTGCTGCTGCCACCGTTGCTGCTGCCACCGCTGTCACTGCTGCTTCCTCCCAGACTGCCCGTGCTGCTACCAGACGAACTGGCTCCAGGAACCACTCCCACCTTAGCGCGCCCACTTCTGCCAGCACCACTGCCACTGCCCGTGCAAATCCCAGTGCCAGTGCCATTGCCGCTTGACTCTTTGTTGCAGCCATTGACACCGTGGGAGGCGCTTGGGACGACAAAACCACCCGGAGAAGCACCGTCGGGGGAATTAGCAGCAGAAGCTGAAACAGCAGGAGAAGGAAGAGGAGGAGGGGAGGTGGTGGCAGTGGGAGAGAGAGGCGAGGCGGAGGGCGAGTGTTCGAAGAGCACCAAGGGGCGGTCCTGCATCCTCCAGGGGCTCCTGCCCATCCACCTGCCACTGCTCTCCCCCAACACGCGCCTGCACCAGCTCCCCGCGTTGACCGCACCACTCACCGTTGCCTCTCTCGCCTCTCCGTCCTCTCTCTCCTCTCCCTCCTCCATTTCCTCCTCCTCCTCCTCCTCTTCCTCCGCGTCCTCATGCTCCCATGCACTATCTCCATCCCCGCTCCGACTCTCCGTCACCGTCATCTGCACACCACAGCTTGACCTTCCTCGCGGCCCACTGCCTCTGGCAGTGGCAGGAACGGTGGGAGTGGTCTCCGAGCCTCTCTCAAACAGACACTCGTCAACTTCGCGGAGTTCTACGAATCCGCCGAACTCGCCGATTTCGCCAATGTCGCTCCTCCTGGTGCTCCGCTGCGGGAACGACTTCCGCCTCTCCAGCCTGCGCGGAACAGGAGCCGCGAGCGGCGCTGGCGCTTGTTGCGGGGAGCAGCAGGGCACGACAGGTTCCAGCGGCGGCATTGGCAGCGGCGGCGGCGGGAGTGTGATGTGGACCACTGACGTGTCGCACGCGTCTTGCTCCGAGGGCGCGGACACAGCGACGGAATCGCCAAACGGTTCCAGCTGCCGCAGCTGTGTCGTGGACGACGGCGGCGACGTTCTCGGGATCCTACTGTAAGCGACAGCGGCGTCTCCCCCGCCGTGAGCGGACTCGGCCGCTATTGACGGCTCGTTGTTCGTGCGGGTGGCTTCTCGGTCAAAGGAAGAAGCGGCGCCGGATGCGGAGACCCGTCGCCACACGCGATTTGGCGCCTTCACATTGGCCCAGAGAAACGCGCCGAACCGCGGCGCAGTCGGCGGAACAGCCGTGCTGTTGCTAGTTGAAGGAACAGGAACAAGCCCGGATTCGGACGCCAAGAAGCTCGAAGCAGTACGAGACGGAACAGGATTGAAAGCAGGAGAGGAAGAAGAAGCAGAAGGAGAAGCAGCCCCAGACGTAAAAGAAAGCACGGCAGGGGTGCTGCTGGTGCTAGCAGTAACACCGAGACCGCCAGTCGCGGCAATTTCGACGCTAGCGTGATCCTGACGGTTGTTGGGGTTGAAAAGAGCTCCCTCGGTGCGGGATGCGGCAACTGTGTTCGAGGAACTTACCAGTTTGGGAGAGCCGGCACCGTTGCTGCTGGACGACCCAACGACGGCGCAGCTGCTGCTCTTGCGGCTGCGCGGGCTCATCATTACCGTCGCTATGACGGAGCTCCTGCGGGTCGCAGCGAGCGGCGTAACGGACGCTGACGGATTCTGTTGGCCTCGACGCCATGAAGCCACGCCTTGCCACAGAATGGGCGCCAGGCTAGTGACGTTCAAAAATGTTAGGAGGAATGTCGTAGGTTGAATAAAATGGATTCACAGGCGATTTGAATGGCGATGCTCGGAGTATGTCCAGTCGGGTCTATGTGGGAAGCTGAGCCGCACGTAACGCGACCAAACGCACAATGCGTGTGGGACAAGATCAGCTGCGACGAGACGAATGCTTAACGAAGTGGTAGAGCACAAAGAAGAGCAAGGACGCGATGGAAAACTAGAAGCGAGCTCTTGTCAGTCGCAAACGAAGAAGGCAGCTAATCAAAAGTAGATGCTTAGAACAAAAATGGTAGAATGCAGTGCGAGAATGAGGATTTCTTATGGGAAACCACAACCCTCTTGTAGAAATGCTTGCACTCTTGACTGACGGGCTCAACTCAAGCCGAAATTTGCTGCAGATTGGAACATGCGCGGCTCGGTCACCCTCCAGCCATCCGTTTTTCCCGACTTAGATCGCGTCGCACTCGTCTGTTCATTCCACCGCCGAACCGCCGCCAATCAGGAGGAGCTTGCTAGATTATCCATAGCCATCCGCATTATCCGTTTCCAATGAGTGGTTTTCGTTTGCTCCACGATTTGCGGATTTTCCCCTCCTGTCCATTCAAACTGTCAGCAAACGGCTTCCGTCATGTCTACGTTCGTGTCCCGTCAATCCCGTGTCGCTGTGAGTGCGACGTATTTCTGGGTGAAGAACAAATGGGGAGTTGACAAATCATTCATCGTGGCTCAGGGCGGTTCCACGCGTTTTTAAGCGGTTAGTAAGTTTGTTTTCTGCTTTGCGACATCATGAAATAGAATACACAAAACTCGGAGACGCGCGAGAGAAGTAGAATCAAACAGTGCACAACAAGAATAGTGTAGGAAAATCCAGCTCATTTTTGTAACAATTTTTTTACATGTGACTCCATGAACATGCTATTCATGCAGCATCAAAGCAAATCAGGTAACAGCATATTGACTCTACCTGAATAGCCATTCTGGGAATGGGAAGTCATTCTATACAAACAGCAAAAGCATGACCCCAGTGCCCAAATGCAGTAAGAAAAAAAATGGAGGCAGAAGTAAAAAACGCTAGTCTCACTGGAGCCGGCCCTTTGGCGGCACCACAAGCATAGGCCGGCCCTTCTGCAGCACAATCTGACGAAGGGCGACACAGATATTATTCTTTGAGGCCTGCTCTGACGAAAGAGCCTCCGACGTCTGATCCCCATCTTCAGGAGTTGCCATACCAGACGATTCTGCAGCACGATCCTCCTGCTCCACTATTTCCTCACTCTCCTCCACACCAGTGACCACATCTTCCCTCCCATAACCCCTAGGGCTTGTCCTCCTTTCATGCGATGCCGAGACCGTGCATTTCTGTGCCACTAACACCGCTAGCCTCCGTGCATTCGCCTGTTGCATCTTCAACACATCAGCCTCAGAGCTGCTGCAGGTACTGCTGCTTGAAGCCCCAACAGCCTTACCAACCCCTCCCACCCCACCCCGCCCCCGGTCCAACTCCAAACCATCGCTCTCCCCACTCTCCTCACCCGACCCCCCCAAAAACGTCTCTCGCCCACTCCCAACCCCATCCTCGCTCTCTGAATCCTCCTGATGATCCTCTGCTTCCACCGCTGCTTTCCCTGCAAGCGCAGCAGCCGCATTCCCTTGACCTGCAAGAGCCGCAGCTAGAGCAGCAGCCTGGCACCGACGCCGTTTAGAAGGCGCTTCCTGCTTCACAATTCTCTCAAGCTCCTCCGTCCATCCCCTAATCACGTCCTCAACTGCAAACCCTGACGCCGCAGCTGCCGCTGCTGCAGCCGCCACCGCAGCATCAACGTTAGGATCCCTGCCACTCTGCTCCCAACCGCCTCCACCACCACCGCCAAAACCACCACCACCAGCAGCAGAAGCACCACCACCAACACCACCAGCACCAGGGCCAGCAGAAGGTGGTGCGAAGTGTTCCCCGTCAAGAGGGGACGGCCCTGCCAGCCACAGCCCATCAATTTCCAGGCCCTCGTATGGGTTCATGATAGAGCCATCCACTGCTTGGAGCATCTTGCCTATGTCATCCGATCCGAACATGAGGCTGGGCAGAGATTCTAGAATGTTCAGCGGAGGCAGCGGCGGAATAGCTGCTGCTGCTGCTGCTGCGGCCGCTGCTGCGGATGCAGATGCAGGTGCACTCTTGGCGGAGGAGGCGGCAAGGTTGACATGTCCAGTCGACGGAACAGCAGCAGCCGCAGCAGCAGGAACACTGGCGCAGGTGCTGCCGGCTGTTGTCAGCTCTGTACCAGTATCACCTCCCCTCTCCTCCTCCCATTCCCCCTCTCCGCGCCCTTGCGCATGAGCAGGAGCTCCAGCAGCAGGAGAGATGGGTTTCACAAGAGCGGGATCACCCAGAAGAGATCCCACCGGACATGGCGGCTCTGCAGCAACACAGACTGCTTGTGAGCCACCACCGCCGGCATTCGTTGCGCCTGCAGCACCTGCAGAAGCGGTGTCACCGGCTGCTGCAGGAACAAGTTCTGTTGCTGCCGCGTCCTCCGCTGCCTCCACCTCCCATAACAGCTTCAGATCCTCAAGCCACGGCAACAAGTCCTGACCCTGCTGCTGCTGCTGCTGCTGCTGGTGCTGTTCTGCCTGTTGCTGCCCCTGCAACCCATCTGTAACGCACTCCACCTTCACTCCGACTCCATCCTTGCTTGCATACCCTGCCCCCGCCCCCTCCTCCGCCGTCTCCTCGTCGCTCTCCTGCGCGTCCTCCCCCTCCCCCTCCCCCTCCAGACGCCGGTACTCCGCGCCACCAACGGCGGAAGCGGGAGGCGCGGCGGTTTGCGCGGCTGTGGTGGTTGCGTTAAGCTGCGTTGCGTCGGCGATGGCGGGATCGGATGGAGGCTGAGCGCCCTTGTAGACCACACGACACAGAACCAGAGAGCCCTGGGGGGCGGAAAGGCGGCGGAGGGAAAGGCGGCGGAGGGATGAGCGGGGTCGAGAAAGAGGGAGCTCAACAGACGGTGAGAACGCGATTGGCGAAAAGAAAAAGGTAAACAGGACGGCACGAGAGCGCAGAAGACGGCTGTGGACGGATAATCTTGGCGCAAGGCAATCAAGTGTCGGCAAGGAAAAGAAAAATCACACCTACAGGATATTATTGTTTTTGTTCAGGAAATTGTTTTTTTCCGCGGTGAGCGTGCCACTGTTCCCACTCACCACTGGCTTCCTTCCAGAGCCGATGCCGGAACCGCCGCCACCGCCGTTGGCGGCCATGGCATTGCTGTTCCGCTGTTCCAGCCGGTACTCGTGCATCACCCAGTCGGTGCGCTTGCCACGTGGCGCCCTTCCCTCGTAAAACACCAACGTCTTTTTCATCCCAACAACACTCACACCCTCCCTTAGCTGTAACATCGGCACCCAATACTGCTCCTGCTCCTGCCCCTGCCCCTGCGCTTCCGCCGTATGCTCCCCCTCCCCCGCCCTCTCCCCGCCTGCTGTATCGGCGGTCGTCGCGGGGACCGCGGCGGTAACGGGCGGGAGCGGCAAGGTGCGGTCGTTACCGGTGGCCTTCCAGTAGCCGCGGGTGGTGCAGCGGTTGGTGCGGCGTGAATGGCCGTACTTGTGACTGCGACGCGCGAAGAAGTACGACTCGTCGCCTATGCGACAGCACGCTGTCGCAGGATGACAAGGGATAGCGATGAAAGAACGGGGAGAAAGGCGAATGTCGGCAGCAGAGAGAAGCATACGGAAGAAGACGAAATACGAGGCGGTGAATAAGAGAACCATTAGAAGGGAGCACCATGTAATGATAATCAGGCGGAAGCAAGTGGGAAACGGCGTAACTGCGATAACCGCGGGCGCGAATATAACAGGGAAACGAGTTGAATATTAAAAAAAAACGACGTACGTGGAAGTTGCCACGGCTCGCAATCAAAGACGTCGAGACTCGCGATGATATTAATCCAGCTGCAGTCCGGCGCAGGCCCTATATCATTGCCATTGTCCGTCAGCGCCGCCAGCGCCCGCCTGCCGTCGTCCGAGGCGCGCACGCGCGGGTAAAGATAGTGCGACGCGAGCTCTTCGTCCGTAGGCTTGAAGCGGAAACCCGGCGGGAGCAGCGGTAGAGACGCCTGCCCTAATCTCGAGCCCGAACTCACCGCGCTCGCAACCATGCTTGCGCCTCCGGCTTTCGTGCTGGTTATAGCGCTGCTTGGCGATGCATTGACATTCCCGCGGGGACCTAACGAGGTGTTGTTCTTAGCGGTTGAGCTCAGTTGTTTAGATGAGGTGGCTGGAACGCGAATCGGGGTGGCGGAAGGTAGATCCTTAGAACGCTTCTTAGGGACGACAACGGAAGGATGATGGGTGCAAGCATTAACAGTGGAAACCTCCTGGGTGGCCGATGCTGTCCAGTTCTGCACTTTCACCTCCTGCTGCTGCTGCTGCTGCTGCGGTTGTTGTTGCTGTTGAAGCTGCTGTTGTTGTTGTTGCTGCTGTTGCTGGTACTGCTCTAACAGCCCAGTCCTACTAGGTCCCTTGCCAGAACAAACTAACATTTCCCAAACCGAAGGAAGAACTCGACTCGGCTCGGCGGTGCACGAACACGACCACTTACTAGGGCAATATCACAGAGAGAAGCGAAGACAAGATACTGGGAAGCCCAGAACCAGCTCGAAAGGCTGAGGTGCCAAGCTTGTAGCTTAGCTTCTCTTCGAACAGATGACAAATGTGTGGGCTGGAAGAAGGGGAGGGAGGCGAAAAAGGAGTGGAGATGAGAGGGGAGGAGAGGGGAGGGGAGGAGAGGGGAGGAGTGGGGAGGGGAGGAGACGGGAGGGGAGGAAAGTGAAGGGGAGGGGATGGGAGGTGGATGTTTGGGGGTTTCGGCTCTGGTGGGTTGGGGGAATGGTAGCGATGGACGGAGAGCCGTCGAGGTTTGACGTTCAGCGAAGAAATCAACCAGTTGGTGTTTCGCAAATGAGTCGTGAAGGGTACAGTAGTGACGGAAATCTAGGAGCTGAAATCAAGGTAACTATCGACGACCCACACTTTGTCAAAGCATCAGGGTGAATAACAATCTACCTCATGGCACCACTACTCACAAACCACATGTGGCTCGGAAGCTGTTCACCAAAGTGAGCTTCTTGGAGGGTACAGCGGAAACGCAGTTGGCACAGTGTGCTTGTGATTCGACGAAAGAGGTGTCCCGAAATCGGACGGACAGTATGGGTGACGTGTGCGCGGGCTGCTTGTCTTCGACGGCCAAGATGCCAGAAGCATAAGAGCAGACATTCGCCAGAGCACAATAACTTGTTCATGTCATAAGATCCTCCGATTTGAAATCAGAAATTGGAACAATCACAGATTGCACAATAGATTGTCCATGCAACACAATCTCATTCTACTTTCCCCCATGCAGAGAAATAATAACTTCTCAATTTCCTTACATTTCTCCAACAAGGTAGTTCAGGGGTGGTTATTAGTATATTTTATGGAAAATTAAACGTTAAAAAACTATCCGTTTGGCATTCTCTTATATATCCCATCTTTCTCTTATATATGCAATTATTCCGGAAGTTACTGGTAATTGGTTCATGAGCAATAACGCCACCTCTAATGGGTTTATGACAAATCGCGTACAGCTTGGAAGGAATGAAGAATGACGGGCAATGAAAAGAAATGTCAATACACCCTGTTTCGCGCCACACTGACATTCGCCATATTGACAAGCCGGTTGTACTGACATCAATGCGTCCAATTTGGTCCCAGAACATAGCGTATAAGCACTTTTGCCGCACGAAACCGAACTCAAAAGCACGTTTGTTTTCATAAACCGTTGTCTACCGTTCTCCTGAACTGCATTTCGGTTGCAAGCACCAGCCCGCTGAATCCAAGCATACGTGCGCACTGTAGCCGGGGCTCCCGATTGTTCAACATCGAGAAACAGGGTGTACTTCGTTCCGAGAACGTAACGCGGGACAGTTTACGGCTGGCTTGATTTTTCCCGAGAGCATATTCTCGACCCTGCTATTCCAGAGAACTTTCCGCACTGCCACTTGCGTCCAAGCAGAATCGAAAACAAACGTGTGAGTGATGGCCTTTTTGGGATGCCAGGCAGAATCTGTCTTGATCTGTACAAGAATGGCAAGTGTCGATTGCAAGTCTTACTTCGGAAACTTCCCTACCAAGCAGGAACAGGCTGGATGGGTGATGGGCTTGTGTCGACTTGGAAGTCTCATTCGTGATTGGCTTGTCGTGTTCACACAAGCATCAGAGAGGCCATGAGTCCCTTCCGTTATTTTGTCTTCTGTGCATGGACGGCGTGTACACTGTAGCTCGTGCAGTCGAGGGCGAAGTGTGCAGTCGAGGGCGAAGTCTCGTCACTGCAGCAAAATAATGGTTTGCTGGGATGCCCGCTCACAACCACAGCGGGTCCAGATGACCATGTGTTGGTAAGTGGAGCATTTCTGGATGGAAGGCGGGGCGGCATAGCAAATTCCTGGAGTGATGAACCCCCAGTGCAAGTGGGTGATTCTGTGAGGATGAGATGCACTAAGAGCGTGTCCGAAGTGAAGCGTCGAATGGATGTCGATGGATGTCGGTAAATGTCAACCCTCGGATCGAAAGTTCCAACCGTCAGGATTTACCGACATGTCAACGGATGTCGACTTCACTTCGGACCCGTCCTGAAAGTACAAGGGAGCGCTGATGCGCTGTAAGTCCTGAAGGTGTACCGAACGACCTAAAAGGTTCAAACATGGCAACATTCTGGGACGTGTGTCGCGAACGAGGAACATTTTAGTTGCCCTATTCCAGGGTTTCCACAAAATCTTCTAGATCGTTTGTTCAGACCGTTTGAGGCACGTCCATGCGCATTTCTGCCTTCCAGCACTGTTGTATCCCACAGTTGTGTTCGTGTACGACACCCAATGCCAGGGACGGTCTGTTCTCGCTGTCCTCGCAATCTCTCCTGCCGCAAATCAGCGCTCTTTTACTCCCGCATTTCAGCCAAAGCCCATTTTCTATACTGTAAAATACGGGCGTTTTACATCTCCGTGACCCTGAACTATTCCACCACACCCCTAATCAGGGTTCCAGTCAAGTACATCCTGGGGTTCCAATCTAACCCATACTGCTGTTGACGTTTTCAGAAGCATTGTGGAATTAGTCCCGTACTTTTGTCACACAGAAATAAGTGTACTCCAAACCTCCAACCTACCACACGCGGTGAGCTGGCGAGCCCTACCAAACCATCTCTCCCTCCACCCGCTCTCCCCACTTTGCAGTTTCGGTTTATACAGTTAAGTTTATTTACAGTTCAACCAGGTAACTGATATTTTTGTGACTGAATTGCGCAAAACGATATTGTCTGCATTTGCCCTCGTCGACACGGGCAAAAATGTGGCTGAACGAGAAACAGAGATGGGACAAAATTTGTAAAACGGTCATATGTGATTATATAGTTGCAAACCTTCTTGTATTTTCCAATGTGGAAGGATTTATCCCAAGATTGCACCTTCCACTGGTCGCACCTGGTAGATGTTATGCTCAAGATGAAGCGTGTGGTTGCCCATACTCATTTCTTGTGCCGACATCCTTTTTTATGGGATGAGGTTGAGCATCAACTGCAGTTTTATCCGTGAACCCGCCGCCATCACCACCACCATCCATTTCTGTCCGACGCTGCTGCCGTGCTTGCCGTGCCACCCAAAAGCCACTCTGTCCTGCTGTACACCCACATTTCGCTCCACTCCATTCCAGTCCATGCTTTCCCGCCCTGATTTCTCCACGCTGATTTCAATTTCAACTGGTTCGGTCTGTCCTGCTGTACACAAGTCCCTCGAGTTGGGCTGGCTCCGCCCCCACCAGCCCTTCCCCCGCGCACATTCTAGGCCCTAGACCTAGAATCTAGGGGCTTCACGATTCACGTGCAAGCAAGCAAGCTCACCTGCACGAGTTGCTCTTTCAGAGCTTTGCTGTGTGAACTCTGTATTGGGTCAAGTAGCTACCGTCCAGTGGGCCACACCCCTGTCACCCTCATCTGCAGCTGTAGGAAGATAAGGAAACCAGATAATGGAGGGAACAAGCTCTATGGCTAGTTATTCAAAGCTCGCAGCCGTCCCGCGCATCGCTTGATCGTTTCGTTGATAAAGAATATAGTAGACTTTAGAAGTTGTCGTCTTTTGTGCGGCATGCTAGCAGGCCCCTTTTCGACTCTCGAAGGACACCCGACTCGATTCGTCCCTCACGCCGTTAGTCGTCTCGTCTTTATCCGAATACATCGCTAGCACTTTCTTGCAAACATCAGCCTCGATTTATTGAACGTCGTCATCGCGTCTTCTTCGCTCTTCGCCGCCGATTCAATGGCGGCGCCTCTCTCATTCCCGCAGCTCTTCACTTGCTCGTTGCTGTCCTCGTCCCCCAACGGCGGTTAACCGACGGTTTAGCGCACGCGACCCGCGGACACTTCAGCGCAGGTAGCGAGACTGCTCTGAATCTCTGTTCGACAACGCGCTTCTCCCGCCCCCGCTTCTCCCTTCCGGTGCTCTCCATTTTCTACGCGGATTCATCCCGGATTTCTCCGATAAAAACCGTCTCCATCGGTACCCCGCCCGTCATTCCACCACCGACTCCTGGTAAACCTCCCCTTCCGTTCGAACTAGTCATCGCCGTCCCTTTCGCCGTTCGCTCGCCGCCGCCGTGTATTCATCAGTGCCGGTGGCCTCGAGACGCGTGGACGATGCTGCACGAGGAGCATGTAAGGGGTCCTAGCTCGGAAAATTCGAGCTTGGGAATCCCGGGCGGTCCAAGCATGTCGGATTCGGGTGCAGCGAATTTTACGTCCGGGTCGCGTCGCCGCCGGGATGAGACTGGCGCTGAGACGAGCGGAGACGGAGCAGATGTTACTACTGCGTCCGCTGCTCGTTTGTCCAAGCGCGCTCGTTTGACACACGACACGGATGTTGCGGCTGCTGCTCCTGCTGGCCGCAGCGGCAGTAACGACGACAATAACGGCGGCAGTATCGGCGGCTATAACGGTGGCACTAATGGCGGTAGTATCGGCGGCGTCAATGGCGGTGGCGGAGGTATTCCGGCCGCGCCGGCGCCGGCGGCGGCGGCCGCGGCTGCAGTTGATGATGGCGATGGCGGGGATTTGTGCGAGGCGGCGCGCCTGCTTCTCGCCGTTAGCGGGCAAGGCGCGGAGGACGAATCGAATCGCGAGGATGCTGTGGGTCCGGTTATAGCGGCTTTGGCGGCGCGAGGGGGTGGCGCGGGGGGCGTTGGGGTCGGAGGAGGAGTGCCGTCGGGCGGAGAGAGAACGGACGGCGCGCGGGCGGATGGGGAAGCGGAGGCGGAGGCTGAAGCGCGGGCGGGAGAGGCGCGCAAGGAGAAGGAGCGGGAGAAGGGGAGGGAGAAGGGGAAGAAGGAGAAGAGAAAGGAGAGAGACAAGGACAAGGTAAAGGACAAGGAAAGGAAGAAGGATAAGGAGGAGCGGAAGGAGGAGCGGAGGGAGAAGAGGAAGGAGAAGGAGAAGGCGAAGACGAGCAAGAGGGTCGAGTTGGACGCGGGCGGGGTTATTACGGCGGGCAACGCTGGGCGCGGCGGCTTGTCTGCTTTGTCATCCTCGTCGTCGTTCCCTGGCATCAAGGCGCCCCCAGCTAAGCGGCTTCACATGGCGGGATCTGGGACTCGCCCTGTCAAGCCGACCTCCCAGTGCGTGGTTTCCTCTGCTCTAATTCTTCTTGTTTCTTCTTGTTTCACATCGTTTCACATTGTTTCCTTGTTATTGCCCGTGGTTGTTTCCTGTTGTTTCTTGTTGGCGTGGTTCCTTGGTTTCCTTGCTGCTGCTCTTCTACTCTTTCGTGTCCGTTTCGAGCCTGCCTGCCCAGCCCAGTGGTTCACGGTCCGCTGAAACGACACTGCTCTCTGCAGCTGCTGCTGCGGCGGCGGCGGCTGCTGCCTCTCGCTCCTCCTGCGTCCACCCACAGTCCCGTGTCCATCAACGGTCAACCCATGCCGTGCCGTGCCACCTCTCATCTGCACTGCTCTTCTCCTCGCCGTCCTCCGCTCCGCTTGTCTTACTTTAACAGGCTTCTCCGCTTATTACACCCCTCGCTCCTGTGTTCTCCCCCGTCCCGCCAGTTTACCCCCCTTTCTCCCCGCATCACCCCGCCTTTCCCACCTCTCTTCTTCCCCTCTCTTCCCAACCCGTCCCCCTCCCCCGACCGTCCGCTTTCCCGCTGTCGTTCCGCGCAGGCTGGCCGGCGGAGGCCTCGTGATAGTGAGCTTCAACGTGAGCGCGGCGGCGGCGGCGGCGGCGGAGGGCGCGGGGGCGAGGAGGGCGCGCGCGGCGGTGCAGTGGGTGTGCCGCGAGGGCGACCCCTGGCAGTGGGCGGACGCTCAGAGCGCGCCGCAAACCGCCGGCTCCAGCAACACCAGGCACGGCTGTAGCAGCACGGCGTGGCATGGAGCGACGTGGCGTGGCGTGATATGGCGTGGCGTGATGTGGCGTGGCGTGATGTGGCGTGGCGTGATGTGGCGTGGCGTGATGTGGCGTGGCGTGATGTAGCGCGGCTGTAGCAGGGCTGTGGCATGTTTGCGGGGTTGTGGTGATGCGCTGGTGGAGCATGGCATGGCGTGGTGTGGCGTGTAACGTGGCATGGCCCCGACCTGCCGTTTCCTATTCCTGTTCTTCCTCTTTGTCGTCTCCGTCCGTGCCGTCCTGCAATGTGCTCGCTCGCACCCCCACTTACCCCCCAATCCCAATTCCAATCCCTTTCCCACCCCCTCCCCACTTCTCATCACTTCCATCCGCTCCGCTTCCCTTCTGCTCCGTTCTTTCCTGTTCGTCTCTCTCGCCCACGCACGCCCACCCTCTCCCCCCCCTGCCCTCCCTGTCCGTTCCCCTTTCTCTTCTCCTGCTGCTCATACTCACCCGTCTCACTCCTGCCGCACTGCTCCTCCCATCTCCTCCCCTCTCTCCCCCCCCCCCTCTTCTCCCCCCCCTTTGTCCGCTGCTCCGCCCTCCCCCAGGTACCTCCTCCACTGCGCCTCACCTGGCTGCCCAGCCACCAAGTCCTGCGAACGCCTCGCACTGAGCAGCACCGCTCTGCACCACCACCACCACGCGGACTGGCCGCTGCTCGCAGCTGTGGTGTATCACGGGTCGCACAACCACCCCCGCCCTCCCGCGCGCGCTCCTCCTGCCTCTCGCACCCCTCCCGCTTCTCGCGCCCCTCCCGCCGCTTGCGCCGCGCCGGCTTCTCGTGGTGCTACCGCTGCTGCTACCGCTACCGCTACCGCTGCCGCTACCGCCTCTTCCACGCGCGCCACTGCTGCAACCGCAGCCCGCTCGTCTCCTGCTCCCGCAGCCGTGCCTCCTGCCGCGGGACTTCTTGACCTCAACGCGTCTCCCGGGCCAGAGCAGCCCACAAATGCTGCTGCTGCTGCTGCTGGCATTGCTGCTGCCGGTGCTACTGCCGATGCTGCTGCTGAGATCGCTGGTTCTAAGGGCGAGAAGGTGTGGGTGCAAGGCAGCGGAAGGAACAAGCACGAACCGCAGGAGGAGCAAGGGGAGAAGCAGGCGGAGGCGGCAGAGGCGGAGGAAGAGGCGTGGGGTGTGGCCGAACGCGAGGAGACGCGAGGGCAGGTGGCGTGGGCAGCGGGGGACGGGCCAGGGTGCAAGCTGCTGCAGCAGGTGTCGCGTCTGCGATTCGAGATGGTGAGCGGAGCGAGCGAGGCGGCGTGGCGGGAGACGCTAGAGGAGGAGGTGGCGGAGGGCGGAGTGCTGGCAGACCTAGCAAACGCCCTCCTTGCTTGCATCTCCAGTGCTGTCTCTGCCTCGGCGTCTGCCTCTGCCTCTGCTGCTGCTGCTGCTGCTGCTGCTGATGGTGGTGGTAATGGTGGTGCCTTGCTGCTGTCACCGCATCAACCTCCCCCAGTGCGCGGAACGGACGCGTTCTGGGCCCTGCTGCACAGCGTGCTGGATGCGCTCTGCAGCATGGCTTCGCGCCTCCCCCGCCCCTCCGCGCCCGGGCGCGCGCGGAACAGCGCGCAGGCGGAGAAGGGCGCGCAGGGGGAGATGGGCGCGCAGGGGGAGAAGGGCGCGCAGGGGGGGAAGAGCGCTCTGGGGGGGGGCGGAGAAGGGGATGCGCTGGGGGGGAAGGAGGTGTTGGGTGGAGAAGGGAAGGGGGGAGTCGAGGGGAAGGCGGGGGAGGAGAAGGAAGCAGGGGGTGTGATTGTGAGAGAGGCGGTGAAAGACCATCTGAGGGGGGATGGCGCTGGGAAGAACTCAATGGATGTGATTGTGATGCAAGGACGCATAGCAGAAGGGAGTGTGGCGGATGGTGGATGTGACGTGGTGGTGGGAAGGCCGCGAGCAGCAGCGCCAGAGGTGCAGCCTCAGCTACAGCCACAGCTACTTTCACAGGTACATGCTGACATGGAACGAGTTGAAGCGAACAGAGGAAGCATGGAGATGCGAGCACGAGCGGATGGAGACGTTGCGACGGCAGAGAGACAGACGGGGGAACGATCAGATGCAGAACGCTCAGAGGCAGAGAAAGCAGAAAAGACAGACAAGACAGGCAATGCGGACAAGACAGGCAATGCGGACAAGACAGGCAATGCGGACAAGACGGAGACGGTTACAACAAAGGGAGAGCGGAAGGCAGAGGACAAGGAAGAGGAGAACGAAGAGAAGAAGGAAGAGAGGGATGAGGAGGGGAAGGGATTCAAAGGAGGGCCAGGACATGTTGACAAGTCGTTGCGGCTCTCTGGGGATTGCCTGTCTACTCCAGCCGTGCAGTCATGCTCCGGTGCTGCTGCTCCTGCTCCTCCTCAGGCTACTGCTCTTGCTCCTGCTGCGGGTGCTGCTGCTGCTCCTGCTGCTGCTCCTGCTGCTGCTGCTGCTGCTGCTGCTGCTGCTGCTGCTGCTGCTGCTGCTGCTGCTGCTGCTGCTGCTGCTGCTGCTGCTGCTGCTGCTGCTGCTGCTGCTGCTGCTGCTGCTGCTGCTGCTGCTGCTGCTGCTGCTGCAGCAGCATCTGTTACTGCCACTGCAGCTAAAGGCACTTGCGATGCAAAGAGCAGCAGTGCTGCTGACACAGCCAGCTCAGGCGTCAAACAGTTTCTTTCTGCCCTGACTCTGCACCTGGATTCATCGCCGCGTGTAATTGGCACTGCCGGTGCAGCGCTAGCACAAGCCGATACCGCAGCTGCAGGCGCAGGAGCAGCAGGAGGAGAAGTGGGTGGTGTGGTGGTGCATGCAGTGCTTGAGCAGATGGCTGCTTCTGCTTCTGCTTCTGCAGTGACTCGTCCCTCGCCCCTGGTCCTTATGCTGCAACAAGTACTGGCCTCCCAACAACACTCTGCCGCCGTGCACCAGCAGCAGCACAGCCAGCAGCAGCACAAGCAGCGACAGCAGCAGCAAGGGCCCGTCACACAGAAAGTAGGGGGCGTGATGCATTTGCCTTGGCATCATGTGCCACAGCCGCTACTATCGCCACAGCTACAGCCGCCACAATTGCCGCAACTGCCACAGCCGCGAGAAGCATCGCAACAGCTGCCACAGCAGCAGCAACGGCAACAACAGCAGCAACGGCAACAACAGCAGCAACAGCAGGCGAATCGAGATCAACTGCATCTACAGCTGCTGCAGCTGTGGCAGCAGCAGTGGCAGCAACAGCAGCAGCAGCATCAGCAGAATGACAAACCGAGAGCAGCGGGAATGTCAGGGACAGCAGCAGCAGCAGCAGCAGCAGCAATTCCCCATGCCAGTGCCAGTGCAAGCACTTGTGGTGGTGGTGGCCGCGATTGGCTGTGTGAGAGTACCGGACTGGCTGGTGGTGTTGACGATGGTGCAGGTGGCAGTGGCGACGGTGGTGGCAGTGGTGGTGTCGTCTTGCGGAAACCTCTAGATCAGCCAGTTGCTGCACGCTGCGACAGTGACAGCAGGGGCCTGCTCGTAAGTTCCCTCAAAAGAGGTGGTGGTGATGTGCTTGCAAAGGCTCAAGAGCAGCAGCCGGGCTCTGCAGGGTGTGACAGTGACAGCAAGGGGTTGGGTCAAGTGAAGGTCGAGAGCTGGAGGAGTGCGGAGCTCCAGGGGATTGACTGGAAGCATCGGCTTGCTGTTACAGGCACGGGGCTTGCAGTGGGGGGAGGCGGAGTGGGTGGGGGGTGGGGAGATGGAGGAGGAGGCAGGGAGGAGGTGAGTGGAGAAGAGGACGGAGAAGGGGAGGAGGAAGTCGGGGAGGGGGAAGATGGGGCAGAGGAAGATGCAGATCGCAAAGGGGGGGAGGGCTTGTGTGGTGAGGCCATGCGGTGTGATACAGCTTCTGCAATCGGTGCTTCTGCTGCTGCTGCTGCTGCTGCTGCTGCTGGGTCAGTTCGACTGGGACAGAGCAACAGCATGTTTGGAGGAGTGGTTGATCCTGCCGGAAGCTACATCAACCCAGTGAGCAGTATAGAAGGAGGAAGAGTGCAACGAGACGCTGTGAGCTTCGATGCTGCTGCTGCAGCAACTCCTGCTGTCGCCTTCGACGCTGCTGCGGTCAGCGGCACCACCAGCACCATCAGGGGCATCTCAGCAGCAGGAGCAGTATCAGCAGCAGCATTGCCACCGTCAACAGCAACAACAGCGGCGGCAGCAGTAGCAGCTGCAGAGCTGGCTGCATGCAGCAAGGGGCGGGTACCGCGTCTACGCAAGTACGAGGAGTGTGTGGTGTGTGGCAAGCTGCCCCGAGGGGCTCTAAAGCTTGTGCATGACCATGCTTCCTCCTCTGCTGCTGCTGCCGCTGCTGCTGCTTATGGCGCTGCCGCTGCTGCTGCTTATGGCGCTGCCGCTGCTGCTGCTTATGGCGCTGCCGCTGCTGCTGCCTCCTCCTCCGCTTCGTCGTCTCGCCGCCGCGTCGTTGGCTTCTGCCGTTGTGCCAAGCGGTGAGTGCTCTGCTGGCTGGCAAACGTTTGGCTGTCTTGTGCTGGTCTGTTTGTGCTTGTGCCTGTGTGTGTACCCATGCGCCTGTGTACCCATGCGTCAGTGCGCCCATGCGCCCGTGAGGGGAGTGCACGCACATGTGCATGGGACGGGGTATGCGCTATCGTTGCGATCGCCCCCTCTTGCTCTTGCTTTGAGACGTCTTGAAACTTATGCTCGTATGCTGCTCACGGCTTCCCCGTTCCTGTGGTGCTACTACTGCCCTCCCATCTCCCACCTCCCACCTCTTTACCTGCCACACCAGGCCCGTTCGAGCTGGGCGCAATGTGCTAGGGATCATGCCCGTTTGCACTGACACCAATTCACACTCCTATGCCACTGCTTGCTCCTACTGACCTCCCATCCTCCCACCCTCCCACCCTCCCACCCTCCCACCTCCCCACCTCCCCACCTCCTACCAGTCCCGTTCGAGCTGGGCGCAACGTGCTTGGGATCATGCCCGTTTGCACCGACACCAACGACGCCGATTCGCACTCCTATGCCGCTCACCAGCAGCAGCAGCAGCAGCAGCAGCAGCAGTGCCAGGGCATCAGCAGTCCCACGGGTGCAGATGGCAGTGCGAGCAGCAGCAGTGGATCAGCAGCAGCAGCAGCGGCAACGGCAGCAGCGGCAGCAGCCGCGGCGGTGTCGTCGCGACATCTGCATCCGGACGGGTGGTCGTGGCGCAAGTACGGGGAGAAGGCTATCTGTGGCGTGCAACCGGGCATGCGTGGCAGGTGCGTGGTGGGGTTGTGCGCGTGCGTGTGCGTGTGCGGGTGCGCGTGCGTGTGCGGGTTTGCGGGCATGTAGGTGTGTGTGTGGGTGTGCGTATGTGTGAGTCAGAGTTACTCCAGGCAGGGAGGATCTAAACTGTTGACGGGTGGTCGTGGCGCAAGTACGGGGAGAAGGCTATCTGTGGTGTGCAGCCTGGCATGCGCGGCAGGTGTGTGGTGGGCGTGAGCGTGAGAGTGTGCGTGTGCGTGTGCGCGTGCGTGTTTGCTTCGGAGCCACTCTACCAAAGAGTGTCGTCCTCTAACAATTTCAGAGACAATTTCAGCCATGAGATGGCAGTGCGCGTGCGCACGTGCGTGCGTGTTTGCGTGTTTGCTTCGAACGGAGCCACTCTACCAAAGAGGATTTCAACAATTTCAGCCATGAGACTGGGCTGGGCGAGCTGCAGCTTAGGAAAATTCTTCAGCAGAAGAACGGCAGTAGAGTTAAACTCTTTCTTGCTTTGGATCGGAGCCACTCTACCAAAGGGGATCTCAGAAATTTCTAGAAGCATTGTAGAAACTGACTGACCCTCTCGTCCCTCCTTTACCCTTCTCCCCTTTCTCCTCCTGCTGCCTTGTCCCCAGGGAGTATTTCAAGTGCACAGTGCTCACCTGCACGGCTCGCAAGTTCTCCCACCGCCTCTCTCTCTTCCCGGCCTTTGCTGTCGCTTGGTACGAAGGCCAGCACAACCACCACCACGCCATCGCTGCCCCTGATGCAACCACCAACGCCACCGCCACCGCCACTGCCACTGCCTCTGCCACTGCGCCTGGCTCTGTTGCTGTTACTCCCACCTCTTCTGCTGCTACTGTTGCAGGGGATTCTGCTTTTGCCGCCGCTTCTTCTCCTTTGGATCCAGGCACCTGGCAGAGTCAGTTGCGTGGGCTAACCTGGCAGGCTGAGGTTTCACCTGACCATTCACCTGACGCCCTTGTTGCCCTGGCAGCAGCGGCACTGGGCAACGCCACAGGCAGACACGTGGCAGCTGCTGATTTGCCGGAGGTTGCAGCGATGGCTGTGCGTGTGGTGCGGGCGAATAAGGCAGCTGTGAGTAAGGTGGGGAAGGTGGACAGTGGGGGAGGAGGGCGGGAAGGAGGAGGAGGAGGATGTGGAGAAGGAGGAAAGGCGGGGGTTAGGGATTTGAGTGCTGGGGGGAGGGGGGAGGAGAAGGCTAAGGCGAAGAGTGTGTGTGTCGTGAAGCAGAGAGACCTGAACTCCGTTGTGAGTGGGCGGTTGAGAGAGGAGCAGGATGGACGCGACTGGAGCAGGTTGGTGAAGGCTGAATCTGCTGATGCTGCTGGAAGGACAGCCTCTGCTCCCTCTTGTGTCACCAACGCCAGTGCTGCCGCTGCCGCCGCCGCCGCCGCCGCCGCCGCCGCCGCCGCCGCCGCCGCCGCTGCTGCTGCTGCCGTCTCAACACCCAAGAAAGAGGCTAGTTCTTCAGGAGCAGTCCTGAGAGTTGCACGACCACCTGTCGGTGCTTCAACAGCACCATCTCCATTTCGCCTTCCCGTTTCTGCTCCTACCAACCCCTACGCTCTCTCTGCTACAGCTGCCGCTGCTACAGCTGCCGCTGCTACAGCTGCTGCGGCTCTGCCTGCTGCCGTTTCAGGCGCTACAGCCTGTGGTGCAAGAGGGGACGCATTTGAGGGCAGAGGAGCAAGCATGGAAGGAGGTCGGAGCACGAGGGCGTTGACAGCAGCAGACAGCCTGGCCGTGTGGCTTGCATCTCTCACCACCACCAACGCCAACGCCAGGAACCCCCCTGGGAACAGCAATGCTGGCAACGCCGGTAGCAACGCCGGTAGCAACGCCGTCAGCAACCCCAGCAGCGCCAGCAACGGCAGCAATGTGAGAGTCACTGCGTATGCATCTGCGTCTGCCGCCTCTGCTTCTGCTCCTCCTCCGGCCTCTGCTGTCAAGAGAGCAGCAGGCAGCCCGGCTTGCGAGCCTGCTGTGTCGGGACGTGCTTGCAGCCAGGGAAGCAACGCTTGGAACGGTGGGTGGAGGGGCGGTAGTGTGACTAGGGAAGAGGGCGCACACACTCAGAGGAGCTCGCCTGGTGCAGGCGGGGGAGCGGAAGGGGAGGCATGGCGAGGGGGCTTCAGAGGGGGTGTGCAAGGAGGAGTGATGCAGAGGGGGGTTGAAGGAGTGGCATGGAGTGGAGGGCAAGGAGGGGGGGTGGTGCAGGGGGGCATGAGTGGGGGGGATGCAGCGATGGTGAATGGGGCAAGTATGGCTTGGCTGATCAGCAGGCTTGCAGCGGTAGGTGCAGGCAGGATTGCTGCTCCCTCTGCTGCTCCTGCTGCTGCTGCTGCTGCTGCTGCTGCTGCTGCTGCGTCTGCTGGTGCTGGTGGTGCTGATGCCACTACACCAGCTACCGCTGGCATTGCCACTGCTATTGCCACGAATGCTGCTGCTCCTGCACCTGCTACCGCCCCTGCTGCTGCTGCTCCTGCACGTGTCACTCCCAACCTGTGCAAGAATGCCCGCTCTGCTGCAGCAACAAATCCTCTCATACCGCCGCATCTCCCTCCACCTCCTGCTCCTCCTGCTCCTGCTCCTGCTCCTGCTCCTGCTCCTGTGTCTGCTCCTGTGCCTGCTCCTCCGCCTGCTTCTGCTCCTCTTGCCTTCCGCAGCCCCTCGAGCCTGCCTCCTGCATGTGCTCCTGCTTCTGCTCCTCTCCCTCCTGGTCCTGCCGCTGCTGTGACCTGTGCCGGCACGTACACTGATGCTGTTGCAATGCGGCTGGTAGCAGCAGCAGCTGCAGCAGCAGCAGCGGGAGCAGGATCAGGAGCAGGAGCAGGAACAGCAGGAGCAGCTGGAGCAGGGGCGAGAATGCCACCAGTAACCCCACCAACCGTCGCTCAAACGCCACGAGCCTTAGCAGTCCCTCAATTCCCACCCTCGCATATTGAACGGACAGCACACACAGCACCATCAATCCCTACCGCACAGCTATCCCCTGCAGCAGCTCCAGTTGCTGCCCCTTCCCCTGTCCCTGTCCCTGCTCCTGCTCCTGCTGCTCCTTCCTGCATCCCCACCTCATCCATTCTCTCTGCTGCGTCCCGTGCCCCTCTCCCGCCTCCCCCATCGCCTGCAGCAATCGCTGCACTGGCTGCTGCGTGTGCCCTCAAGCTGCTGCCGTGCCAGCAGCAGTTGCAGCTGGGCCGGCTACCACAGGGCGTGCAGGGGATGCAGCAGGGGATGCAGCAGGGGATGCAGCAGGGGATGCAGCAGGGGATGCAGCAGGGGGCACAGGGGGCACAGGGGGAAGAGATTCAGAAGGTACCGGTACAGGGGTTACAGGGGGCACAGGGAGGGGTTAAGGCGGCACAGCAGGATCCGGTACAGCAGCAATACAGCCTGTTACGACAGCACGGGCTCTTGCCACCGCTGCCGCTGCCACCACAACAGCAGCAGCAGCAGCAGCAGCAGCAGCAGCAGCAGCAGCAGCAGCAGCAGCAGCAGCAGCAGCAGCAGCAGCAGCAGCAGCAGCAGCAGCAGCAGCAGCAGCAGCAGCAGCAGCAGCAGCAGCAGCAGCAGCAGCAGCAGCAGCAGCAGCAGCAGCAGCAGCAGCAGCAGCAGCAGCAGCAGCAGCAGCAGCAGCAGCAGCAGCAGCAGCAGCAGCAGCAGCAGCAGCAGCAGCAGCAGCAGCAGCAGCAGCAGCAGCAGCAGCAGCAGCAGCAGCAGCAGCAGCAGCAGCAGCAGCAGCAGCAGCAGCAGCAGCAGCAGCAGCAGCAGCAGCAGCAGCAGCAGCAGCAGCAGCAGCAGCAGCAGCAGCAGCAGCAGCAGCAGCAGCAGCAGCAGCAGCAGCAGCAGCAACAGCAAGAGCAAGAGCAAGAGCAAGAGCAGGGAGGCGATGGCTGGCAAGGGCGGGGCCAGGCAGGGGAGCAAAGGCAGGTGCGAGGGGCAGGGCAGCGGCTGTCCTTTCTCACTGCACCTGTGGTAGAGAGGCGCACAGAGGAACAGTGGCTTTCACTGAAGATGGGGAAGGGTACTGTAGAGGAGGCAGGAGTGGGGGTGAAGGGAGAGAGGGAGAGGGGCGGACGAGAGGGGAGTGGGGGTGGGGGTGGGTCAGCAAGACAGGGAATGGTAGATCTGTCGCTTGAACTGGGTGTCTGTAGAGGAGGTGCGGTAAGTTGACCTCTGAGTTGAGGTGGCCTTTGAGTCGACTCGAGGGGAGGGCGGGCGCGGCGCCGGGGAGGTGTTTGCAGCCTCTCCTAGTGGGCTGGTATGGTATTGTTGTGATACGTAGCAGCAGTGTCAGGGTTGGCGGCAAGCAACGGAATAAGGGCGTATGTACACAACTTTAATAAATTCGGCTGCTATTATTGTAGCCTCTAACTGTTGAGCTATTGTATAATGTAATTATGTAAGTACTGTACCTCTTATAACGAGAGTGAATATGCAGCTAATTAATTGACTCCTGATCAGAGTAAAGTGAACTCCTATAACAAAAGCTATCCATGGGTTAATTTATGAAATACACGGACATACAGTTACGGTATGTGATAAGCTGAATCACATCTCTGTTCTACCGTCAAACCTGGCTTTCCTCCTTCCCATCCGGAAAAGCGTCTGTTGTTAGATCGTGATTTTTCAACAGGCTGGCTACCACCAATCTGTTACAGGTTGAAACAATTACCATTGCCACGGTGGTATCAGAGCTTTGGTTGATATGTGTATGGAGGATGGCTGTGTGGTATGTTGTTGCACAGATTAGCCAACGAGATGGCACTGGTAGTACGGTACTGGCGCAAGTAAGAAACCTGCGACAACAAGGCAAACGTTCCTGTGCTCTCAACCTCTCAATATCATTGCAAAGCAACCACCAAGAAGCTCCTATGCTCCCATCTTACTTCCATTCCGTCCCTCCCTTTCCTGAAAAGCATCTGCCACAGCTCTTTTCCTGGAACAGGTCACACTGGAATCTTTTTCCCTATCACAGGGAGATGATTCAACCCCAAACATGCATTCCGTCCCCCCCCCTGCCTGTTCCTCTGTGTGCAGGAGCGGCACAAACATAGTCACTCCACTTACCCTATGCTCCCCTCTCCCCTAACCACCGTCGGCTGTTGAAACGTCTCAACAGGGGGCACAGAGACCAGACACTCGTGCTATTCCGTGCTCCCACCTACCCCCGCCGCCTCCTTGGCCTCCTCGTCCCACTCGCGAATGCGGCACAGCAGGTGCGTGAGGATGCAGGCGAAGACCACCATCGCCACACTCGCAGCCGCCACCAGCGCCAGCGACAGCACCAGCTTTGGGGAGGACAGGGAGGAGGAAGAGGAAGAGGAGGTGGTGGTGGTGGTGGTGGGAGGTGGAGCGGAGCTGTCAGGTGGGGGAGTAGGGACGGGAGTGGGGGAAGGGGACGGTGAAGGGGAAGGGGCGGGGGACGGTGAGGGGGAAGGGGAGGGAGAAGGTGAGGGGGGAGGGGAGGGAGAAGGTGTGGGGGGAGGAGAAGGAGCAGGAGAGGGGGAAGGCGAGGGGGAAGGAGTAGGTCCATCGGGTGACTGCAGGTATTGAACGAGTGTGTAGGTACCCAGCCGTGGGGATGTGCACACATAGCTAGAGCCTGATGAGCTGCTGCTGCTGCTGCTGCTGCTGCTGATGCTGCGCTTCTCTGCACGTGTCAAGACCGGCGACGTGTCCCAGGCCACGCCCCCATCACCACCACCACCGCTCCCGCTGCCGCCACCGCTGGTGCCTCCACCTATCACAGCGCAGTAGGTCTCACCACTATCACCACCAGCTCCTGTGCGCCGTGCTTGCCCCGCTGCCTGTCCGCCTGGCCGTTGCTCCCCTCCCTTCCCCCCTTCCACCGCCAGCCTCACCTCAATCCGCGCAGGCCCTGGCGCAACCACCTCCCACGCCTCCTCCTCCGCCCCCATCACCTCCCCCGTCCCGTCCCCCTCCGCCTGCGCACTAGCTTCCCCCGCGCGTGGACCTTTGGCGAGGAGCAGGGGGGAGAGGTCGAACACGCGGAGAGCCACGAGGGGGCTCACGAGGGCGAGCGGGGCGGAATTTGCGCTCAACTGCGGGGCATCTGACGGTGGGAACCGGTAGTAGAGGAGGAGGAGGGGGGACATCAAGCGGGGAATGGAGGAGGAGGAACGGGAGGAGGGTGAGGCGGAGGGAGAGGCGGAGGAAGGAACGGAGGAAGTGGAGAAACCGGGAGAGGAGGGGGAAGGAGAGCGGTGGAGTGAGGCTGTGGCGAAAGCGAGTATGGGGCCGAGAAATTCGGCACGAGTGGCAGTGATGTGCTCGCTGCTACTGCCCTTCCTTGGTTTTCTGGCCATAACATCACTGCTGCTGTTGTTGCTGTTGCTGCTGTTGCTGCTCCTGCTCCTGCTCCTGCTCCTCCTTTCGCCGCCGCCTCGGGTGGTGCTTGCATAGCGCTTCTTGCTGCGCCTCCGCGTGCTGGCGGGTAGGAAGGAGCACCCGGGAGGAACGGTGAGCTCGTACCACCGGAATCCGGCCTTCTGCACCGCTTCTCGCTCCACCACTGCTGCTTCCACCACCCTACTACTACCACTGCTGCCTTTCTCGTCGCTGCCACTGCCGCTGCCACTGTTGATACCACCGGTGCTGCTGCTTTCCCCCACGCTCCCACCCCCACCGGCCCCAGTCCCAACACCCGACGACTGCCCCGGAGGAGGAGCGCCATACGGCACGCGAACCACGATAGACCCTTTCGGGAGAGTGTGGTTACCATCTCCCGTCGCAACGCCGCCGGCCGTCGCATTGCCGCTGCGAATGGCGTCTAGAAGGGTCCACTTGGCTTGCTCCCACAGCATCTGCTGCAGCATCGCGAACCGATACGCGTCGATCTCCGCCTGTGAGTCGGAGCCGGAACCAGCGCCAAAGCCGGAGCCGGAGCCTGAGCCTGAGTCCCCCGCGACAGCCGGCGGGCCTGTTGAGCCGTCGCCTGGCGCTCCCGGGTGCAGTTCCGGCACCACCTGGATTGTAGACCGGCGCAACGAGCTTCTGGCACCTCTGAAAGTCTCAAGGGTGACACCGCCGCCGCTGCCGCCGCTGCCACCACCGCCGCTGCCGCCACCGTCAGCAGCAGCGGCAGCGGCAGCTTCAACAGCCAAGGATGCACGTGTGTTATCTGCAAACTCAGCGACAGAAGTGGTACTGCTACTTGTATTACTGGTAGTTCTGGTAGTGCTGGTAGCTCTGCTGGTAGTAGCAGCGTCTAGCGGTAAGACGGTAGCACTAGCATTACGAAGACAACGACCGTGATCAACAAACGCACTTGTAGTAATGGCGAATGAGGGCGCACGATTGGAGAGAGCCAACCGAGTCACGCCCGAACGACGACTAGTCTCCCTGTGCCTCGCGGCACCGCCCCGCAACCCGCTCGCCGCCACAGTGTGCGGAATGTGCGCGGAGAATAGCACCAATGCGGCTAGTAGAAGCTGGAGCAGACGCACAGCATGACTGCGAGTGAGAGCACGAGTGCGAATGCGAGTGCCAAAGGAGTGGTGCTGAGAACGGATTCCGTGCATGATCGCGCTGGACTTGTTGCGGAAACGCGACGGATGCGACGGATGCGACGGACAGACGAGTGGAGTCCCAGCCGTTGCGCGCGGTTCTTGCAGAAAAACAGCCGTGGCGTCGCAGTGCCGGCTTGTCAGCGAGTGCGGGTCCGGCTGTAGCTCCAGCGTTGTTGGTGATAATTGCCGCTTTCCTGGTGTCGCGACATGCAGCTTCCGAGCTTTCCGCGCCGCTGTGACTCCAGCCATGGCTGCAGCTTCTGAAACTTCAGAACTCCTTCCGCCGTTGGCGTCTTCTCCCTCAATTCTCCGGGGAAGCCTCCTTTTATTAGTATAATGTCGAGCGTCGCAGATTCGGCGCACTTGACATAACGTCAGCTTCGAGTCGAGTCAGCTGGGCGTTTAGAGTCGATTCAGCTCTGTCTCTTGGTTTCAGGATGTGCTGTTCAGGCCAGGAAATTATTACTGGCCTTTGAAATTCAATGGTCGTGCCGGAATGCTGGGAATTCACTCGGAAGTGGAAGAAACGAATCCTCGTCGCACGCACGTCACGTGTGTAGCACTCGAAGAAAAAACACCCACGGTCGAGCGCGTGGCGTACAATCCAGTGAAAATAAGGAGCAGAGTCTGCTATAGCACATACGCGACGCGAGGGGTGCAAGTTGGGGTGCAAGTGAGTGGAGGAAGAGCAAGTAAGCAGGCGGAGTCCTGTGTAGCGAATTTGAGCAGTGCGGAGAAGAGACGAGCAGACACAGGTAAGGAGCACAAGCAGAATCACCTGAAAACAGATGGGAATCGGGAGGATGTGTTGAAAGCGTGCCTTGTTGATCACGAGTTGGTCCGACAAACTACTATCCCCCAGTTCGATGCGATTGCAATGCGATGCGCGCCACACACGACTCGCGAGTCGCTCGCGACTCACCTAGGAAGATTGTCCAATTCCGTATTCCACAATTATTGGTGTTCGCATTTCCTCGACAGTGTTAGCCACCTTCAGGTAATTGGAAGGACTACCCTATGTCGGACTCAGAACAGAAATTATAGACTAAAACTATCTTCGAAAAGAGTTTAGAGAGATATGCCACCTACTCATTTATTAGTCACGGATTCAGAAGAATGCACACGATATGGTACTCTTGTTTGCAACCCTACAATTCCAACATTAAACAAAATTCACGTAGCTAAAGTTATGCTCGCTACATGTTAATCCCATGCTAATTGCCCTCAGCAATGACAACCAAAGAAACGAATCATATTGCTCCATTGCCATGTGCCTGAATTGCCATCGTCTCGCGTCATCCACATGCCACCAACCCCCGTCAGTACTTATTATCCGTCTCATCCTGCGTGAACCGGGTCCTCTCATTCCCTGCCATTTCCACCTCCTGCAACTCCGCCCCGCCGCCAGGCCCCTCCCCTTCCCCATCCCCCCCACCATGCTCCTGCTCCTCCACCAGCTTCGAATACGCACTGTACAGCCTGCGCGACTTGATATAAGTCACCACCCACACCACGAGCAGCACAAGCGCCAGCACGCCGCCCAGCGCACCCAGCAGCACATACTTCCCGTTAAGCAGCTCCGCGGACTCGATGTAAAGCGTCTGGACGCACGGCCCGACGATGACAGGAGCAGGGAGCTTGACGGAGCCGTTGAGATTGGGGTTGCAGGAGCCCTCTTCCTCGTACGTGTAGGTGATGTTGTGGCGCCCGTGCACGTCTGCACATGTGCTGCTGCTCGTCAGGAATCCCGCGCAGGGCTGGCAGGGAATGTCGTCTGGGAGTGGTGCCTGCGGGTTGGGCTGGCACAGCTGCATAAGGGAGAGGAAGCGGGGAGAGAAAGTGGGGAGGGGAAATGGGGAGGGATGGATGAGCGGAGGGTTGATGGCGTGGAGCAGTAAACTGGGTGGGTGTATCTGGATTCGAATCCGAGAAGCAAAGCTATGCACCAGTAGCTCATACTTGAGCACAACAAACTTGTTGTCCTTGCAATAACCCCTCCCACCTTCCCCATCGATCGACTCCCCTCCACCCCTCCACCCCACACTGACCTTGGGCTTCAAGTACAAGGAGCCCAAGGTACTTGAACACAATAAACTTGTTGTCCTTGCAATTGGGCCACCATGACCTTCCACCCCTTCCCCCTCGCCCCCTCCTCGCACTCGCCCCCTCCCTCCTCTCGCCACCCGTCCCCCCACCCCACACGTCACGCGCCTTGAGCTCCTTGTACTTGAAGACAACAAACTTGTTGTTCTTGCAGTTGGGCACCGTGACGCAAAACTCCCTCACTAGTGAGTTCCTCCCTCCCCCATCCACCCACTCCCTCTCCACCACGCACCTTGGGCTCCTTGTACTTGAAGACGACGAACTTGTTGTTCTTGCAGTTGGGCACCGTGACCATCTCGTAGTCGTCGTACGTGCACATGGGGCACGCAAACGCCGAGTACCACACCACCCGACACCTGAGCCGAATCAAAACCCACACACCTTCAACTCCTTGTACCCGACAACGATATCTCCATCCCCTTGTTTCTTTTGCACGAGGGCGCCGCCACCTTGACACCTTTCAACCGAGCATGCACTTCCTCAGAACTCCAACCCACACTCCTTCCGCGCCCAAATTCCAACCCCCTCCCTCCCCTCCCCGCCACCCACCTTGGGCTCCTTGTACTTGAAGACAACGAACTTGTTGTTCTTGCAGTTGGGCACCGTGACCATCTCGTAGTCGTCGTACGTGCACATGGGGCACGCAAACGCCGAGTACCACACCATGTCGTACGTGCACGACGTCTCGTTGCCTATGGGGATGATGGCGCCCGTGCGATCCACCCATGACGGGAAGGTCAGGGCTGGGTCCAGGGCTGCCTGTTGGCCCTTCTCTGTCCACGCCTCTGGCGCCCCGTAGCCTGATGGGTGGAGGAAAGTTAAAAAGAAAATGAAATAAAGAGGCATGTATTCTGAAGGTGCTTCGAAAACAGGCCACCCATGACAGGAAGGTCAGGGCTGGGTCCAGGGCTGCCTGCTGGCCCTTCTCTGTCCACGCCTCTGGCGCCCCGTAGCCTGACGGGTGGAGAAAGATGAAGGAGAAGAGGGGTGTATTTTTTAAGGTCCCTCAAAAGCCGGTCCACCCATGAGGGGAAAGAAAGGGATGGGTTCAGATCTGCCTTCCTGAAGACTTTTGGTGCCCCGTAGCCTGGCAGGTGGAGGAAGAGGAGAAGGACAGGAGACCCTCTTAGGTGCCTCAAAAGCGGTCCACCCATGAGGGGAAGGTCAGGGCTAGGTCCATCCAGAGCTGCCTTCTTGCCCATGGTGTCCCGTAGCCTGGCGGGCCGAGGAAGAGGAAGAGGAAGAGGGGTAAGCATAAAACACAAGAGTCGGCATTTTGGTCACAGAAGAATGTGATCTTCAGCTTGCGAGATCCTTATCCTCCGCCACACACATATCGCCTGTCAATTCTCGAATCAGCTCAGCTCAACAAGCAGCAAGTGGCTGTCAGTGAGGTGAGGTGAGGAAGCAGCCGTGTGGGGTGGGTGGGGAAGCACAGGAACGCACCGGCATTGGGGTCACAGATGAAAGTGATCTTGAGCTCGCGGTCCTTGTCCTCTGCCACGCACGTGTCCCCCGTCATCGTCATCACAAACCCCCTGCGGAACAGCGCTGCGCCCTGCCCCAGCGGCGACAGATCAATCTTCTTTCCTAGGTTATGCGCCAACCGGTGCCCCTGTCGGTTATCCAGCTTCGTCGCAGGATTAATCTTACACGCGTAGGTATTCATCGGAACCCCACGCACGCTCGCGCACGTGCGGTTGGTCTTATCCCGGTCGCACACGTTCACGTAGTACAGAGACCCCTCAGAACGGTTCTTAGCCTTGGGGTTGTCGAAAATCGGGCCGAACATACGGCCGGGGTGGCGGCGGGAGAGCGGGGAGAGGTCGAAGATGGTGAGGGGGAGCTTGGCGTCTTCCTCGGAAGCAGGCGGGACGTAGGAGCAGTAGGAGGAGGGGACCGCCACGTCTCCGATGGTGCACTCGCTGCTGCCGGCTAGAGAGGTGGTGCCGGGGCTGCAGGGCTGGCAGGACGCCTTGCTTCCCTGGAGAGATGCAGGTAGAGGGGTGATCCAAGAGAGGGAGATGGGAGAGGGGATGGGAGAGGGGGGGGGGGGGGCGGCAGAGGGTGGGAAGGAGAGGGAAACGAAAGGGTGAGGGAGGAGTGATGAGGGAAACGCAGTATGGATGAATGAAATTTGTCGGTTTGTCAGGGTGGATTGGGGTAGGTAGGGTGAGTGAGTGGAGGAGTAGTAATGCGGGTGT